CCTCGAAAAAAAAGGTGAGTGCTCGGATGCCGTCGTAGTTTTGCTTAATTATTTTAATTATTTTTATTTACCGCCTACACTGCGCCGCGCTGCAATTAAAACGCTGCGGCGGCCTGGCCTTCATTGAGTGCCCATCACCCCAGCCTAGGTTATAGTTCCCTCCTCCCGGTTTTCTTTTTTTTTTTTTTGTATATATATATCCTTTGCTTTTTTGCAAGTGAAGTGGAAGGTTGCTCTGGTAGTGAAAATTGGTATGCAAATTCTGACTGGCGGCCCGTCAAACGCTACACAAAATACCTGGCCAAAAGTGCGCTCTGACTTAAATAAAAAATGCCGTAAACATAATTAAGGTGGGCAGCAGTTTGGGGCGTGGCAGGTACTCGAGTGGCCAGTGATACTCGTACTTCTGCTATGTGTAGTTTCTATTCGAAAATGCAATTTAAATGGCAGTTAGCAAACGCCCCGAAGTAGGCAATAGCTTTTGATGGCTAGCATCGGATTATCATTGATGCCAATGAATTGAAGGTTTCAGGATTCGTGAGAGGCGGCAGGAGTGGCTCGTTCATTTGATTGGCAGCTCGTTTGCACACACTTTACTTCTACGGCACACACTCAAGGCCAACGGAAGGAGGATTAAATGTATTCAAATTGATTTTAAGTGTATCAAGGTGTATGTTGCAAGAAAATTATAACTTTATGCTTTTAATATCAGATTTATTTCGTTTAAATCTACGATTAATTGTATCGAAAACTGTCAATTGCATCAATAATCGAATTTACAGGAAAATAGTCTTGACTCTACGACCTTATTGTAAACCCTTTTGAAAACCTTTTTGTATAAGTATTTGAAATTTATAAATCTTTAAAATTTTCTATATCTTTTATAATTTATTTCGATTAATTTCTATTAATACTAGCGCATATTTAATTAATTATCTGATTTAATAATCGATAAATGAGCTTCTTTTTTGTCATTTGTAATCCTAAAAAGTTTAAACTGCCTTTTAGAATCCCTAAAACAAAGCACCTATTATTCTGCCCAAATGTGTGTGCCTTTGCATAAGTGTATGTGTGCTGGGGAATATCCTTGCATATCCTTTGATGCCCGACACGAGTGAAAACGACACTACATTAGCTGTAGACCAATTAACAAGGCTTTCCCTGCTAATCCCATATGTGTACAAGTTTTCAGTAATTGAAACTGTCGACTGTCTAAGTCCAATTACTGCCTGCCATTCGCCATTGCCACTGCCATTGTTCGTGTGTGTGCTGGCTGTGTGTGTGTGTGTGGGCCATAAAAATGACTGAAATGAAAGTATCGTAATTGAAAGCAACTTTATTATGCCGCTGCTGAAAATCTCAATTTAAAGCGCATTAAAATTGCTACTACTATTTGTGATGGATGAGCTCTTACTCGGCATTTTCAGCGCCGGGAGGGCTTGCTCTTTTATCCAAAACTGAAATTAAATCTTGTACGAGTAGATTGTGCTTCGTTGTGTGTGTTTGTGTTTGTGCCGGAGTGCTTATCGTGTGTGCTTGTGTGACAATCTAAACAAATAATGATTTAATAAAGAACATGCACACACGCACGCAATTCCATTGTACTATTGATACCATTGTTTTACGGTCTGCTAATCAAAACGAACTCAGCTCCGCCCCCGCCATCAGTTTTACGGCCCTGAAGGCTCTTGAATTATAAATGAGACCTAAAACTCTCGTTTAATATTTAAACAAAATCAAATCAAGGAAAAAAGGAAGGCAGGCAGGCAGTCAGCCAGCCAGCAGCAACACGAGTCAGTCAGGCAGTCGAGTCGGGCTTTCGGGCTGTGAGGCGGCCAAGACAGCCAGTCAAACAGTCAGCCAGTCAGTTGGACTGGAGCTCGGAAATATCAAGTGGAAAATATCAAATTGTGAAGCCAAAGAGGAGCTGGAGACGGGTGGGCGTGGCCCCAGGACTGGCGTTTTTCAAATGCGAGGCCAAACTGTCTGACTGCGCTGTGGGCCAAGAGAGCTCGCCACTTAAACTAATTTGATTTCTATTGAGGCAAACAAATAATAAATAATGAATTTACATTTCTATGCGTGTCCGGACGGATTCCGGATTCCGTTGCCATGACTGAGCACTGAAGTGTGTATGTAAGAAGGTCGAGGGTCGTTGGGTGTTGGTTGCATTATGTGCAACATCCTATGCTATATACTCCTCCATTCAGAGTCTTAATTGCGCCCTCACTCTTGGCTATTTCCACTGGTAATTAGGTGCAGTCGGAGCTCTGGAGGAGACTCGCCTACCTGATTAAGAACTAAGAGGATTACAGCAATTAACAGCGAATTATGGATGCGAATAAAATGTGTTTTTTGCAAGCGGTCTATACTTTTAGATAAGTGTTATATAGACACAAATAAGTTTGAATCCCTGCGAGACAATGGGGAAAATGCTTTGCCACTCGCTGTTCCCAGCTCGGTGTCAAGTTTCCAATTTCCATTTTCATTTACTCCGCCCTCCGCCCTCTCCGACCTATAAATAAATCATGGGGCACACAGGGCCCAACCGGCAAAGTGGGTTGTGAATGTGAAACCCGATAAAGCGCCAAATAAAAAAAAGGAGGAACAAACTTGAGCAATAATTCTCCGGCTGCTCTTGAAAGTATGTACTAGAAATTATTGGAAATACAATCCACTGGCCCTATCCCATGGTATATATCCCAGTGTGGTGCCCGCCGCGTCTGCCGTCAGAGATTTGAATGGGCCTGGGGAAATGAAAACTGGTTCAAGACTTTACAATCAATACTCGTACCTCTGTCCGGTGTGCTGGTCTTTGGGTTTTTTTGTCATGATTTTGGAGGTGAGAGATTTATTTACAGATGAGTGGATGGGTCGCATCTCTGAGTCGCAACTAAATACAAGTTTGTTTTGTAAATACAAAAGTGTGTGGGTGCTCATTTGGGGTTCGGTTTTTGTTGTTTGCTATACAGAACGAACTATACAAATGGGAACAAACGCGAAACGAACTGTACAAGAACGTATGTATTGTAGCTGCGGCTGTTAAAAATTTACGAAAACTTCAAATATGCAAATTTCAAAACCAAAATCCAATCAAATTTCTCATGTGTGTGTGTGCACACACCTCGGTGTTCTCTGTGTTTGTTATTATTCATCTCTCGATATTTGAATCAAACTAGGCAAACACACACTCTTCACACACACGTATTTAAACTTTGAATTGCTCCAAATTGATTTGTAGTTCTAGCTTTAGCTTTAGTTTTAGTTTTAGTTTTAGCTTGGGTTTTGGTTTTCGGTTTTTTAGTAGGTTTTTTGGAGAGATCTTGTTGCTGTTGTTGTTGTTGAAAATGTTGAAGTAAGGAAAATATACATATCATATATAAATATTGAATAGAGTTTGCAAATATATATGGCTATATATTTAGATATATGTAATTGTTTCGTAATAAAAAATATATATGGAACAAACAATTCGTTATTATTTTTTAGCAGTCTCATGTCTCGTTTTTGTTTCTTTTATTGTAACTTTTTTTTATATATTTACACAATTTGTTTTTCGGTTTGTTTTTAATTATTTACAGTTAAGGTGAAACGAAAAGAATGCACAGAACCAAAGAGGAAACCAAACTGAAAAAGAGAGAAACGAAAAGTTCGTAACTAAAACTGGTTATCGTTTCCTGTAGAGCTGGCAAAGAATCGAAGTTTCCGCAAGAATCGATTTTGAAATCGATCAACATCGATGGTTTCCCAGCTCTAGTTTCCTGTTTTACTTTTTCTCTTCCTTTCGATTCGATTGAATGGGGGATTTGCCTTTATTTCAGTTAGAATTTGAATTAGAATTAGAATTGGAATTGGAATTAAAGAGGGCCGGGGAGATTGGTTTTCTTTCTAGCGACTAGACCTATGCACTTGCTGTGGCCCTCGATTTCGGTTTCAGTTTCAGTTTGGCTTTAATTGGTTGCTCTGTTGGGACGGGTTAATCTGCTAATCCGCTAATACGCTTGAAAATCGCAACTAAGTGACTTAATTGGATTGACACTAACGTTAGGTATTAGGTAATATTAATAGTGGTGGTGGTACGAGTAGTTTAAGTTGTAACCTTTTTCAGGATTATTTGCAACGTGTGTTTGTATTTAGGGGAAATATACAGTTGATTTTTGGTTTTTGTTATCGGTTTTCTAGTCGATTATATATATATTTTTTGCGGTTAGATATGTACTTCTTGTTGATTGATAGATTGAGTGGTTATTCGTTGTTGTCGATTGATTGATTGATTGATTGATTTGCTTGGTTGATTGCTTGATTAAAGTGAGGTGAGTTCGAGATATACAGAGAGAGAGGTAGAGAGAGGACCCTTGCCATGACAAACGTAAACAAAGTAGAGTTATTTTTATTCATTTCGTATGCAGAGTAATTGTTGTTTGAGACTATTTACAAGTTTGGTTTGGTTTGGTTTCTTTTTTTTTTTTTTTTTTTTTGTATAATTAACCAAAGATTGCATTGAAAATCATACGAGAACTGAAACCAAAAAACAAAACTGAAAGAAAAGTTCGAATAAAACCAAAGAGATGTAAGAACCTAAAGTAAAGTACCGAAATAATTAGTTATAAAAATCCTGCGTTTGTTTTGTGTGTGTTTTTTTAAATATATTTTTCCAAAAAAATAGTAAAACGTGTTTCTTCATCTTTGCTTTTCAGTTGATCATTTTGGACGGAACGAAAAACTTTTGTATTCTCGTTTTGAGTGAAATGAAAATAGCGCTTAAATGATAAGGTTAGGTTAGTCATGTTGGTTAACTAAGGGAGCATTTCGAAATATATGTAATAATAATAATAGGTTTGAAAATAATACAGATAACTGGTATTTTGAGATAGCGAGTTAGGAGATAGAGTCTTTGTATTTATCATTTTAGTTTGCTTGCTTTTTTTTTGCTTATAACTTATTTTAGAGAGAGATAGATAGGATAGAGATATAGAGAAAAATATAAAGTTAATGCTTACAATCATTCATATCGTCATTGGATCTCATTATGTACTGATCCGATGAAGATAGTCTTGAATGCCCGTTCGTATTGGGATGAGCTCCCCCCCTATGATCACTTTGTTTATTAGAGCTACGCATCGCCAGTGCAGATGGGTTCGACTGATGCATATACATACTATCACCTTCGCACTCACTTTCTTTATATTGGAGCACATTTTTATGCTTCTCATAGATAACCAGGCAACGATGACATCCTTTCCTAAAAAAGTTTTTTGGTTGCAACGAAAAGTTTTGTATTTTTGCTTATGGTATTTGGTATATGGGTATAGCTTGTAAATATGTTACGAGTATAATGGTATGGCAATATTCATGTTTTCTGTTTGGAATTTCTTTTTCTTTTTTTGGTTCGGTGGTGGGGTTGTGTTGTTGGCTTGTTTTCGGGTTTCTTGGCGGCAATCGACAAATAAAACGGATGGTAACTAGGGCTAAGACTTTGGCCGAGCATTCAGAAGGACCCTCCTCCGTGTGTTTTTTGTGTGTGTGTGAACGGAACCAAATATCTTATGTATATATACTATATACCGGGTGCAAACAAGGAGGAACACACACTAAGGCGCAACCCCTTGGCCTATATGAAGGAATTCGATTTCGATTTACTCTGGCATAAAAATGATCCCAGAAGAGGGCACAAAGTCGAAGCTGAAACGATCCTGAAGGGACTCAGACCAGTTCGAGTTTGGCCACTATTTATGGTAATATTTGTTGTTATATTTTCGATTGAAAAGCGATTACTAGGTTGATGTTTTATTTCGAGTTAAAGTAATTAAATGATCATCGAAAAGAACTCAAAGGACGTACACTTAAGAACGCAAGAAACTCACAAAATATATATGTTGTTGAAAAGTGATGTAAAAATATTTGGAATACATATTATTCGTATATATAAGTAGATAACGTATTAAAATAAACAGTTTCATTTTGGGTTTTTGTTTTGATTTAGATTCAGTTTTGTTTTTTTCTTGGTGATATCAGGCTAGATGTTGGGGTTCTGTTAGTTTCCTAGTTGGTAAGATAGTAGAGGGGACTCGATATGTTTACGATATTTATTATTGGTATACGACAAAAACTTGTACAAAACATAACGAATACGAAATGGGAAGCCGGAGGAGAGGGCGGGTCAGGCTGTGCATTAAATACGAGCTTAATCCCCGCCTTCGCCTTTGGCATCGCAGAGCAAAAAACGTCCAATAATATTAATGGAGAGTAAGGAAAAGCAGCGGAAAAATCAAAAAACATTTTCACATTTCAGCTACAACGGAAAAACTTAGCTTACGGATTAGGATTATTCATATGTTTATTAAATATTTATAAGCATAAACATGGCAAAACGCAAAATTCAAAATATAAACTCCACTTGGGTAACTTAATGTTTTGCATCCTTTTTGTTTTTTTGTGGGTTCTTTTTACTCCTCTTTTTTTCGCATTAAGGGAAGCAGCTTAAAAGGGTTTTAATTGTTTCTCTCATTGCTCTTTACGACTAAAAAACATTCATACGAAAGGAAAACAAAAGAAAAAGAAGGACGCCAGACCAAAGGCAAAGGGAATGCCTGGAAAAGTAGTCGTAGAACAAAAAGCAATATTCCTTAAATTTCTTTGGCTTTCGTTTCGTATCGTTTTAAATAAAAAAAACAGCATAAGGAAGGAAAACGAACAGCATCAAACACTGTTGCTAAGTAAGGTAAAATGGCAGAGAACAGAGAGTATGCAAAAGGCAGTTTTCTAAATTAAAAATACAATACGTGGATACGTAGGAGTTTGATTTAGTTTTTGGCTTTGTAGCCCAGTAGTAGTTACAACACAAGTGGGTACACAAAAACACATACACGGATATATCTATCGGGCGATATTCAGGGGTGGTGGAGACACAGATAGATAGAGAGATAGATAGATGCTGCTTTTTGTCTCAGTACATGACTCGCTCTTGTCAAACATCCGAATTACGAGCTACGCGCCGCGCCGCCTCTAAGGTGGCGCCTCTCCATGTGAAAGGAGGATGATGGAGGACCAGTGCGGCAAACAAACTCAACTCAAACCAGTTTCAAAGGCAAAAGTTAAGAACAGCAGCAGCAAGAGCAGGAGGAGGTAGCAAGAGCTGGAGCTGGAGGAACAGCAGCTGGCAGGCAGCGGGAACATCAACAACAGCGATAACGTTGACGACAGGTTTGACTGCTTGTGTGAGTGCAGTGGTACACAGAGAGAAATTGGATACTAACAAGGCCTAGAACTATAACTAATCTCATTAATAATAAGAACTTTAAAAATGTATTCCAGTTTTTAATCGTAGAAAATTCCTAATGCTGGAATATGTCATGTTATGAGAAGTTAATATTTATCGAATCGACAAACTGAAAATTCTTGCTAGATGCTTTTCATTATGTTAAATTAAGGAGTTAAAGAGTAAATAAGTCTTAATTGGATGTTAAAGGTCTTGTTTTAAATTACCCTGACAAAATTTCCTAATGAAAAGTTAAAATTTGTGGAAACGACAAACTGACAGCCTGAATACTAAAGTGTAGGCTATTCCTTATGATGAAGTACAGGTAAGACTTAAGTTGGGAAAAGTGTCTGTATAGAACATAACTGATTATATTTCCAAAAACCTTTTTAGATAATTTTTTATTAAATGACAAGCTCAAATTTCTCTAGCCCTTAAAAATATTATCCTTTCTTAACAAAAAAAAAAGACAAAACCTTGTAGTTTATCTCCGTGTACCTTAGCTACCATATATACGGGTACGTGTGTCTCCGCGTCTCCTTCGACATGGCTTGGTTCACCCTTCGCTGTTGTCTCAGTCCTTCTTTACACTCCACCCCACTCTGCCACACTCTGGCTGAGCTGGCTCCTTTTTAATGAGGTTAGTGCTGCATTTTGCCGCTCATGCGGAGGGTCCTCCGCCTTACCTTAACACAGTTTACCGAACACACACACCTTTTCCTCAGTCAGAAATGAAAACTTATTCAATTATAGGCACTCTTCGACAAAAGGAACCGGCGTAAAAGAATATACACATATATGTACATATAAATGTACATATATATAGATGTAGATGTGTGTGGCAAATGTAAACCAGAACATCTCATTTTCCACAGCCTCTGCCAAACAAAAAAAAACTTATGGGTCGCGCGAGTATCGGGTTGAGATGTTAGCATATATATATACATATTGTTAGCGGGTCGTTCGGAGGTAAAGTGATGGTACTTACTCGTCGACAATCAGATATTTGTTACCATCGGAGGCCGCACACCTGCCGCGATAGCTGAACTGTGAGCCCTTGATGTGTATGGATTGCTGATAGCCGGACAGGAACCAGGAGCCCTCCCACCGGGCCGGAAACGTGCAATTTGTGGGCGCTGCAAGCCAAAATACACAGAGTAATAATTTATTAATAAAAGACATAAGACCATTAATGCATTAAGATATTATATTCCAATTGCCTCCCCGTGGATGCGACCTCAATTGCGTTCATTGTTCATTTAAGAGGCGCATAAAAGAGCAGCATTTAAAGTACTCGTTGCTCAGTGGTCGCTTATTGATAAATTTAGATTTGTAGATTTGCGCTTGGCCACTTTCTTGGGCCTCTCCTTCTAATTGTATTGTCAAGTTTTTGGTGGCAAGATTTGTGGCTTTTTAATTTGTAAATTGTTTCAATTATTATTATGATTGTATTTAAGTGCGTGCGCATAAGGGGCCGCAAATTTACGACCTGCCGTCAAGAGCGGGACATGGGTAGGCTACGGATACGGATACGGATCCGCTTAAGGGAGGGCCAGGCGCATAAATAAGTTGAACAAGCCAGGCAACCGAAAACTGCTCGTAATAATAATAATGTCACACACAGACATGCTCACACATACACACCCTGAGAGGAGGAAAACTACCGAAATGGCAATTGTGAATATTAAAAAAAAAAAAAAATACAGAAAAAAGGAAACAGAGCCGAAATGGGAAAAGCGAAGCGGAGCCCAAGCCAAAGTATAGAGAAAGAAAGTTAGCTAACGGCATGCCACACTCACTCTCGCACACATACACACCGGGGCATGAGTACTATATCCCATACAATGGGTATAGACCCACAGATACATATAGAAAATGGTAAAACCACCCTCCAAGCCATACATACAGCTTAATGTTTGGGCACGATTGGCAGCGGCAGGGAGGAGTTGGCCCGGAGTTCGGAGTTTGGGACAAGGGTGGTGGGCAGGAACCGGAGCGCCGATGGAGATGGAGATGGCAGCAGTCCTGATGGTGATGGGCGCAGGGAGTGGGAAGTGGCAAGTCGGAGACGGAGGACGGTCCGAGCACAGGCTATGCATTCAAATACAGAAAACTGGCAAGGAGAGACGAATGTGCGCACCCGAGCCAGAAACAGAAGCACAATCAAAGGCAAAGAGGCGGTGCACTGTGGGAAAAGGTATACTAAACCTTTTATTTAAGAATTAATATTTATAAAAATTACTTTGTAATAATAAGCTAATATTTTTTAAATTATTGAATGAGCTTTAGAAAAAACAAATAATATTTAATGCTTAGATTTTGGCAAACAAATCATAGACAATTTTTGGGAACTGGTTAAAGAGAAAGCATTAAAGCATTAAATTAAAAAAAATCCTGTGAGTGTGCAAATTATCCTTAAGATTTAAAAATTCGAAAATATTTGAAATAATGAATACTAATGAGTGCTAATTTATTGTTTTATGATTCACAGGATTACCTTTAAGACCCAAGGTTTCCTAGGTTCCTCTTTAATGTTTTTAATTAATAAACATTTTTCAATTTAATTATAAAATCAATAGTCTTAGTTTTTCAATGTGTACCCAAACAGCAGCTACAACAACAAAGGGCAACGGCAACACGGTGCCACACACACACCCAACCGTACTTACAGCGATACACATTTTATTTTATTATTCCTTTCCTTTCTTTTATTTTACTTGTTCCTCGTTGATTCCTCCATTTTTTCGCTTTTTGTTTTTACATTTGCGGCAAACAAAAGGTACTCATGCGCAGGATCAGCGCAGCGCTCTGAACTCTGAGCCCCAACTGAGCCGGAGCTCAGACCGCCGACTATATGGAGTCGAACGTATAGCCAAAGTTATGCTCCAGCTCAGGCTGTGTGTGTGTGTGCGTTGTGTTGTGTTGTCCAATGACTTGTGCTTTTTACGGGCCGCATTCGCAGCCTGTCATAATGCGGCCCATACGCACAGCGGGCTTCCTTGTGTGAAAAGTGTAGCACACTTTGCCGGGCAGCCACCGCCCCGAACGAAGGTCCGGAAGCGGGAGCGAAGCCGGAACAGAGCGAACGGCGAACGGCGAACAGCGAATGGAGAGACCCGAAACCACCCCCCGCCTCGGCACACCCGACAAATAATTGTTTCGCCAATTTCAAGTACCGTGAATAATTTTCCAACATGATTCAATACTTTTGCCTGAGTGCCGCAGCGACTATTGTTGCTGCCGCTGCCTTTGCCGCTGCTACTCCTACTGGCAATACAATCATCGCACGTTGCCCTTCGCCCTTAATTCGCTACCCCTGAAATATGCTGCAGGACAAGCATAAGTAAATACAAGCTAAAAGCAAATATACGACCACGACCGCGACCGACTGCCATCCTGCCAGGCAGGCAGACAGACAAGCGTACAAATGCGTATAGACAGTTGAAATGACGGACGCGGGCACGGGGCTTTTCGGATATATTTTTGGTGTGTTTTTCGTTTGGATTAGAGTGGCTCAAAAGAAAAACAGAGCGGCGAAAAAAAAAATACGAGCAGTGGGGGAAATGAACAAGCTTAGGCAACAACAACAAAGCGAAAGCCAACAAAAAAAAAAAAAAAAGGGGGAAGAAAATAAAATAAAATAAGCTCAAAGAGTTGTGCTCCTCACAATGGATCCCTATAAACTGACAGTAATCAGGTGCATTAATCAAAATAAATCTCGGGGAGCTTTGTCAGCTGCACAGGGAAGCTACATACATCTCTAAGGCGCCTCTCTGCCAATACCGACATATACATGTGTTGCGAGGAAATAGAACAAGAAAAAGTTTTAAAAATGTCAAATAGGAACTTTTTAAAGACCTAGACAGAAAACTTTTCAAATATTTCATTGTAATATATATTTTGGAAAACCAAAAACACATGAAATACTATTTTTGTTGTTGATAAGAATTTGGGAAAGAAATATGTTTTATTTTACTCTATTAGATAATATAGAAATATTTGTAGATTTTTTGCTTAGTTCAAACACACGGAATGCTGTAGCAGAAACGGGACTGGTGGAACCTTTTTAGAAGCTAATGAAATGATGATAGAGAAGAGTTATATTCCCCTCCTTTAGATATAAACTGAAGCCTTTAGCAGACCTCCTAACCTTACCTAAACCAATGGCAATATTAATATTAATAATTGAAATATATTAAGATTGAATGAGTAAAATATATATAAATAATGGAAATATAACAAAAATACCTCTCCTCACTTAGATAATTGTACTATCTTCTATAACTAAATGAATTGCAATAAAAACCACTCATTGATGAACACTTTTTGACATCATTTCTTTCCTGCATTCAATTAAGACTGACAGCTAGACAATTTAAGACAATATTAATTGTTTAACTATGTACTACTACTCCGTCATTTGGTGGTCCTCACCCCCACCCAGTCTATTGTGACAAGCAATTTCCTATCGCTGGCAACGTGTACTTATCTTATCTGCGATGATCTATAATGACAACTTCAATGCGCTAACAACTCCTTAACCCAATTATGCTGCCCACACTTGGTGGGTGTGCGCAATTTGAAGAGGTCGTTCGTTAGGAGCTCGAACCGGGGTAGATGTAGAATGTGTGGTTACGGGAACACACTACTCCCTTTTCGAACATTACTGGACCACCCCTATTGACGGGACGCACTCTGCACACCCCCCACTCCATACACAGACAGGCACTTATTGCCGCACATAGCTAAACTCAAAGAGCATGACGCTTTTCGCCTGCGAGACTCATTTGCGTTTCGGGCCCTGAGTCTGGGTCTGGATTTTGGACTTTCGTTTGCGTTTCGCATAGGGACAGCAGCTGTGTAGGAGGAATAGGAGGAGGAGGGGGAGGCGGGATACCCAGGGGCGGGGCAACCAAAATGCTTTTGTCTAACTTGAGTGAATTATGGTCAGCGGTCGGTCGGTGGTCGGTGGTTCGCCCTGGCCCTGGCTGTTTGTTTCGGGCAATTTCCGTACAATTTGCCATTGCATGTTGCTCGTCCGTCGGCTGTTGCTGCTTCTCCGCTTGTTGTTTTCATTGTTTTTTTTTTTTGTTTCTGCCTGTTTTTTTTTTTTTCCTTTTTGGGTAAATTCGCTCATGGTGAAACAGTTGAAACGCATTATACGAACGCAGATCTGCGGTCACAAACTACTTATGGATTCAATTGAGCATGACCAACAGTTGGGGGTGAGTGAATAGGAGTGGGAGGCGGAGTTCTGGCCTGCCAGAGGGAGGGATGAGCCAACGCCAGCTGACGCTCTGTTGCGAGTACAAATTATGCCGCAAAAATTAAATGAAATTGGGGACTTGGGTCCCAGCTTGGGGTACTTTCTTGGCGCGCCAAGTGAAATTATAAATTCTTATCATAGCGCTACTTATCGGGGAAGGGAAGCTGCTACTCACCATCTTGCCTTGCCCAGCCACTGACGGACGTGGCCAAAAGCAGCATTAGCAGCGGTCCCAGCCAGCTTTTTGTCGATGTCATGGTGGTGGTGCTCCTACTCCTTGTTTTCGCCGCTGGGAAGATGGAGCTGCTGTTGCTGCTGCTGCTGGAGTCGGAGTGGGTGTGGGTGTGGGAGCGGGTCTTGTTTCCATTGCCCGGCAGCAGATGCTGCCACAAGAACATCAACCACGTAATGCCGGAAAGTTGCGCGGCCTCTCCCCGTCGTCGCTCCAGACTAATATCACCGTTATAGTTAAAGCACCTACATTCATCATACTCCTCCTCATCATGCGGCAATGCTGCGCCAGTTGTGCCCCTTGCCGTGGCCGTTGTCGTTGTTTGCGAACAGTGCTGCGCGGTGGTTCCAGCTCCTGGGTTGTGAGATGTGACTCCTAGTAGTTCTGTTGCTGTTGTTGTTGTCACTGATGCTGGGCTAGTGCTGATTGGATTCACCTGGGCCAGCAGCGGTGGTGCCGCAGACGCATGACTTGGTCTTTCGCGCCGCATTCGCTCACGTCGCCAGCATCGCTTGCCGCCGCATTCCAAGACACCGCCGGCAACGACTACATCCACATCCCCGCCAGCAGCCATTGTGGGCATAACTAATTGCGACGTCTGCCGGAGATCGGTGCAGCTATGGCCCGCTGCGGCCGCGGGTAACTGAATACTCGCCTGCAGGAATTTTCCAGCCCACAAGGAGGAGGAGGAGGACATTGTTGCCGCTGCAGGTCCTGTTGTGGTTGCTGCCGTAGTTGTTGTTCTTGCTGTTGTTGTCGGTGTCAACGTCGCCGCTGAAGCATGTTTATCATAATTTTTATGTTCCCAGCCGGGCGGACAGACGGAACAGCAGCTGCCGTGGCCCAACGTCTGGCCCTGACTTCGGCTTCGACTCTGGATCCTTGCACCGGCCGCAGGCACATGCTTACATGGATAGCAGAAAGGCGGTAAATAGATTAACGACGTTGTTCCTGCTCTCGTCTTGGATGTGGATGTGGATGTGGACGTGGACGTGAAGCTGGAGCTGGAGCTAGAGCTAAAGCCCGCTGTCCTTGCTACCGCCTGCATCGGATGTTCCTGCTGCTCCTGCTGCTGCTGCTGCTGCTTCGTGTCCTGTGGGTACAGAGACAAGAGTGGAATATTTTATTATTATAAAGCGCAAACACGCTGGCTGAGCCAAGTAAATATAAATAAGGTGGCGGGGTGAATTTGAATTTAAAATAAAGCGTCACCCCGGCCGTCTCACTCGCATATATAAATAATCCCACAAGATTCATTGTTCGGCAGTCGGCAGTCGTCCGTCCGTCCACACGCACCAAATACAGTTTTTCACCCAAATAAAAATAAAACTTCCTCGGCGGCGCATTAAAAAGCAATAAAAATAAATATGGTCTCTGGGAAACCGACGCTGCGATCGAAATAAAACCGTCCAACGATGCGTAAATCAAAAATCACGCGCTATAAAAAAATTAGACAGAAATTTATACGCATCGATTTATGTGTACCCAAAAGCGTCGTCGCCACCGCCACCGCCCCCGTCCCATTTCCATTTCCATTTCCATTGCCAGCATTTCCTCCGTTATAATCTTTTCCTGCATTTAGCGCCTCCAGCTAGGGGAAACCCCAATAGAAAGCAACAACCACTTGAGAGATTTCAGATTCCTCGCATGTGTGTGGAGCAAAGTCCACGATCCCAGACCACCACCACACTCGATGGAATTCTTAATTTCCATATCGCATGTGAGCTTTCCAAGCAACAGCCATATTTTTATAGTATATGTTTTCCGATCGACGGCAACTTAATTGATCACATTCATCGTTTGATGGGTGCCCGAAAAATTTATATTGAATTGAAATTAATTTTTGTGTCTGTCCAATTTCAAACGGGGCACCAATAACATTTGACGAGTGTCGGTCCATAAATTTTCAATGGTGTGAAGCTTTTTTTAAGAAGAAGAAATTCGTTTTTAATTGAATTTCTTTGGGAAATATTAAAATATATTAAAAAGGGGTATTTGCTTGATTGATTCTTGGGAGGGGAAAGATGGAAAATATATATAGACTTTAGATAAATATACATATATTTCAAATCTTTAAGCAATTTGTTTAGTATTTCCTCTTATAATTATATTTATTTGTGTTAAATAATTTAAACAGTAAATATATAGACACTGAGAGGAAGAAACACATATGTATATCTACAATCCCCTGAATATATATAATTTAAAAAAATTTTAAATGTAAATAATATTGAGCCTCAAAGATATGCGCATTAATCTATTTAAATTCAAATTTCCCACACAAAAGCATAAAAAACTTTAAGTGTTTTTTAGTTCTAATTACAGCTCTAGTTTAAGTCTTTCCGTATTGCTTTAAAATCACGGATATTGTTTTTTTTCCCAATGTTTTGTGTTTTTTCAAACGTAAATGTATCAATGTCTTCTCTAGTTTTAAAATAAAATAAAATATATTGTCTACAATTGAACAAATTCGAAATTCCCTCAATAACCTCCTTACAGAACCTGATATTAATATCCTAAACTAATTAGTCTTTGCCTTTTCACATTTTACAATCGATTATAAGGGCACACATCATAACTTCCTTATTGCTTGAATGTAACATTCATGCCGTGTGAAGGTTGGAAAAATGAAAAGCTTTTCCCCAACTCCCCACTCCCACTGCCACCGCCAAGGGTTGCCCTGGCCATGTGTCATGCATTATGTCATGAAGGAAGGTTCGTTCTACTCAGAAATTCAGCATGCTCCAAGGAATCTAAATCAAAATGGGGGGAACTTACTTCCCCGTGGTCCCAGCTTGCGAGGCATAATGCAATTTTGATGTTGTGTAAGCGCTGCTCTTAGCCCATCATCTATGCTAATTAAGTTAATTAAAAAGTACCAGCAAAGTATTTGCACTTGGCCAACTTCACGTCATAATCAAAGTGGAGGCGGCGTCGCATCGAATGGAAAATGAAGCCCAAGTCATGTCAAATGCTCTTAAAAAGCCAGAGTCGCCCCTTCCCCCCCAGACAGATACGGAGAGATACTGGATATGACGATGACGATGCCCAGGCGAATTGGAGGTGGAGATGACTGGAGGCTGCTGCTGGAGATGACTATGTTGCCATCCTCCACACAGTGGAGTGTCTTTATTTAAAAACGAAGAGAACGGAGACGAAAAAACGGGGCCAATTATAAGCTTCATCATTAATTTGAATAAAATTAATTCTTCCAAACACACAGAGACCCACAATACCGCACCGAGATGGAAAATGCCACAAAAGAAATGTGCCACAAAAAAAAGAAATGTGTCCAACAGAAGGAGCACAGCGCAAGGAGGAGCTAACGAGGAACGGGGGCGAACGAAATGACAGCAGACGGTGGCAAATAAAACATTTAGGCGGAATTATAATTTTACTTTGCTTATTTATAATTTACGTTTTAAATGTGAAACACCTGACAGCTAAAGAGAATTTATGTTTGCATGTTTTCCATTAATTTATTTTTCCGAGGCGCACCCCGGCCAAGGAAACTGCCAAGACTCCAGCCTCGAACTGCACGAAAATGCACAGCAGGAGGGCAGCGGGACGGGAGGACAGAAGGACGGGACTCCAGGGTGTCGAAGGAGACCGAAGGAGGAGCCAGAAGACAACCACATTTCGCTATCACGTTTGGACTATAAAACAGGCCAGCCCGCGCCAGGCAACAAGGCAGCCCCCGAGCCGTGCTGATGATGTTGTTGATGACGTGGAGCGCCGCTGCATAGCAGCCGCCAAAAAATGGCAAACGGGGCAACCCAAGACACCCAAGTCCCAGTCAGCAAGGAGGAGCACTCCACTAGGAAAAACAAGTAGATTGATTGGGGGAAAAATATAAGGGCCATCATTATAGTTTACAGGGGAATTACTTTCAATAAGAGGCGTCGAAGTGGAGCAAAAGGATATAAGGGAATTTATTAAATATTACTGCAAATTGGTTTTTAGTTAAAAGAAAATTTTGATAAATTGTTAACACACTCAAAACGTAAAAGATTATTTTTGTAAACTAAACTACTACCAAGTTTTGGTTGAAAAGTGAAGGATTTTAAATTTTAAAGAGAATAAAGCAATAAAACATTAGTAAAACTCTCCCTAGACTCGAACTATTCACCATGCTGTTACTCTTACTATTAAATAAATTTCTTTAAGTGCAGCAATGCCACAGACACAAAGACCCAAGAAAACGGAGTCGGAGACGTCTCGACGCAGTGCAAAAACTTGTCAAGTAAATATAAACGAAATATGTGGCACGGCACCCGGCCGGGTCCGTTTCGTTCCGTTCCGCCTCTACTTGCTTTATTTTATTCCCATTTTATTATTATTTTCACCAGGCCAAAAAGACGCAGACGCCGAAGCAGCAGCAGCAGGAGTAGAAGCAGCACCAGCAGCAGCACACATAAAAAATATTTTTATGCAACATTTTTATGATTTCCGTCTGGCTGCGACAGCGCGGCATGGGCACAAAGAAACTTTGCCCAGTGACAGAGCGAGCGGCACACGGTCCGTTCATGATTCTGTTTCCGATTGCGCCGATTCCCAAGTCCAGGCCATCTCCTTCACCTGGTTTCAATTAAAAGACACTTTTCTTTTATGTGACGGCTTATTTCTCATTACGTTTGCCATGTTCCTTGTTTTTATTTTCATTGGAATCCGGTTCTAGGATGCCCGCCCAATCCACCTCCCAAGCCCAAGACCAACCCGACCCTCTGGTTCGCAATTGAAATTGGAAAATTTTGCGACTGCTGCTGTGGGGTTGGCGGCTGGTGGTGTTGACGGCCGCTTTCTGGAATGGATGGGATGCGTTCGCTCCCTTGTCTCACTTCATCAATCATTAATTTCGTTTATTTTTAGTGAAAATAATCACTTTGGGCAACATATGTGACCGAGCAGAGTTTCGCATGTGCTCGCTGGGCTGGGGATGGGATGGGATGGTGTGGACTTTGGCAGGAGCTTGGCGTGAGGGTAAAAGCATGACAAAGAGTCTGGAAGATGCGCATGGTCCAAAAAACACCTCCGTGCAATTATCAAATGGACTGGGCCCCCTTCTTCGGGGTTGCGTGTAGCTCTCCTTCGGTTAGGTTAATGTGTGTGAAATGACTTTATTGGTTTTTCAGGTGGTCTGGCCCCGGGTAAATGATGGCCTTGGCTCATGCCACGCTCTATTATGGACACATGTGTCCCGTTTGCTAAGGGTAGTCTGGGGGAGTTAAGTGCGACTTAGATGGTATAATAAAGCAAGCAGTTCCTTAACCCCCTCATGGCATTACCCAAGGCAAGGCGGAACAATTAGGCAGAACACAATTTGGTCAAATTGATCGATAATGTCTAGATACTAAAATGGATATGGAACTGCAAATACAAAGGTGCTTTGTGGGTAGATTTTCGGAATATCTGTAATTAAAGCGGACCTTTTTCTGCGTCATTCTATAGTGGAACTCAATTATTTTTCCATGTGTACAAAACAAAATTGTATATTCCACAAAATAAGCATTTATTTAAGCAGTTGATTCTAACTTTTAAGCCTTTTTTAATGTTTAAAATAGTATTTGACCCTTTTTATGTTGAAAATTTTTCTTTATTATCAATTTACTTTAGGCTTTGTAAAACTTCAGAAAAAGCTTTATTCTTAAGCTTAAACTTCATTTTATTAACAATAAATTCGTTTTTCCACCTATCTCGAATTAGTAATAACTTCCCCTGATGTTAATTAGAGCAAAATGTGCATGTAGACGTACATATGTAGTTAGTTTGTTGTCAGCTTGAGTTTATTTATGACATTTTTATCTTTTTTTATACCCTTGTTTATGTGAGACATCTGTCTCGCCGAATCCCCAACGGCTTGCTGACTGGCTACCTTTCACAACTTATCGTGCCTGTTGTCAACTTTTGCAACCGTGTCCACTGCCACTTCCACTGAAATACGTAAATCCTTATTCACTCCAATGACTAAGAGGCATTTTCTTATCTGGATGCGGAGCAACGAACTAAGCAATAAATATAAATAGAGAATTTTCACATCGGGTGAGCTAACAACAACCAGCACACCACACTCGCACTCGCACTCACACTCACTTCCGAAACCCACACGCACCTCGAGGTGAATTAATCAACAGCTCTGCAGCCGCAGCCGTGGCCGTAGCCGTAGCCGGAGTTACGTCCCTTAGTAATTCCCCTAATGCAATACATTTCCGTTGTGCTGCGGGCTGTTATCTGGTAAAACCCGTGCTTATGCATCGATGTACCAACATGATTTCTATCTATGCGTCGATAACATAAATATGACGGCTGGTCAGGAGCTGCAGGGGGAGAGGAAGTGCAATTGCAGTGCGCGCACCTCATTGAACTTTTCAGACAAACACAATTTGTCCGATAAGGAAAAAAGCGTCTACACGACACCCTCGGAAGGGGGGGAGGGCGTACTGGCAGCAGTGCCACAGAGCTCCGAAGGGGGGCGGGGCAGTCGAACGGCGCGCGCACTAATGGCCACCATTAATAATTGAAAAACTGAAACAGTTGAGCATGTGAGCGCAACTGAAGGATGATGGCGCTACGTGGGGGGGCGACGGCGAGGACGGCTAGGTGGATGTTGGAGGTTGGTTTCTGCTTCGGTGGTGAGGGAGGCGGAGGGTGACAAAAATCTATAACCAAAAAAGTTATGAATAAGCGAACGACAACGAGTGGAGAGCAACGATGGCGAGTCTGTACACGGTGCAAAAAGTGATATTTGTGCTGAGAGATTACGTTGTAGCTCTGATAATGACTCGAGTATACATATAGACTAAGCAACTTTTTCCCCCACTTAAAATGTATTTTTTTAGCTTTAACGATGCCCAACTAGTTATTATTTTTAATAGGAAACAAAGCCTTAAATTAGATTTTATACAAGTTTTAAAGATTGGTTTTAAATACTCTTTTTAAAGCCACTTTATGAATATATTTGTAATTTTTAAAAGCATTTTACTATAATTTATCGAAACATCTTTTTATATAAATGTTTTTAATACTTTTTTAGTAATAAAATTATTTAATTATGGCTAAATTAAAATTTATCTTCACAGATTTAAGTCTCTAAGATCTATTACTTTCTTTAAGTGAAGAAACCAATCAATATAAAACAAAAATATATAATATATTTCAATCTATATTTATAAAATCCACTTCCTTAAAACTATCTATGAAATATAGAATTAAAAAAGAAAATTCAAAAACAAAATAAATCCATTTTTTTCATAATTTTTTTGCGATCTTATCAATATTTTATCTACAAGTATCGAATAGATCTTTAAAATGCAAGTATAGTAAACTGTAAAATGTTTTATTTTAAGTATAATCTACATCTTAAATATTTTCTTCGGTGTACAAACCTGTTCTATGCTTTCGTTGTTGTTGTTGGGGCTGTCGCTGTTGTTGCTGTATCTGCAGCTATAGTTGTAGTTGTAGCTGTAGTTCATGGCTAGCTGATGATGCTGCGGCGCTGCAGCGACGCTAACGCTGACGCTGACGCTAACGTCGGCGTCGACGGCACGGCGACAATGTTGGAGCTGCTCTTCTTCTTCAGCGTTCTACCCGTTCTCCTGGTTTTACCCGTTCTTCGTGTTGTCTCCAACGAAAATGCAGCCAAAGGGGGAATCGCGTGCGAAACGCAGCCAACCAGCATTGGAAAATTTACAATTCCTTTTTGTTTTTTTTTTCTTTTTTGGAATTTCTGCCACTTCTGCTGCTATATGGTGCTGCTGCTATGATTTTTCGTCCAATTTTCCGCTGCAGGGCAGCCACCAGAAAGCACACGAAGCGAACCGAAACTGAGACTGAGACGACGGCGACTCCGTTTGGTCGTGCGGTCGTGCTGTTCGCAATCGCAGAATCGGGGAAAATCGGGGGAAAAATATTGGAGCAAGGTGTTTCCAAACACACACACTCGCACAGCAGCTGCGGCGAAGTGGCGAATTCGCCGGGGTTCTGCGCAAATGCAAAAATTTGGAGAGTCGAGCTAAAGTCGCAGCCTTCTGAGCATTGTTGTTGTTGCTGGTGGTGTGGCTCCACCACCGTTTGCACCGTTATATTGCGCCTGCCGCTTTGTTTGTGTTGGTGAGCCTCCTCTCTCAGGGACTCTCCCGTCTCTCTGCTCTCCTCGCTCCCCACAGAGCCTCTGTGCCAATCCCCCTCGCCAAGTTATTGGGGCTTAGTAGACTTTTTTGTAGCAAACCAGACAAAGTCGTTGTGTTTCTTGCACATTTTATTGATATTAATTAATTGCGAATCAAGCTAGCGAGCCGCACTCATAGGCCGCGACACGCGACGCACACACACGCACTGGGCTCGTTCAAGGTATACACCAAATTCTGCACACACACGTACTACACTCGGCACTCAGTTTCTTAATGCTTTTTGCAGTTCTATTATTCCGTCTTATTTTCACTTGGTCAATAGCGCTCTGCTCTTTGTTTTATTGAATTTTCACACAGCTCCACACACAGCTCGGGCGAGAGACGCTTGCTATCGGCAGCGGCGAATGGGAGAGCGCTGAGCGCAGCAGCGAAAAGCCAGCTTCTGCTGCAATACACACCACCTACGAGCTAGGGAAATTGTATCTATGGGATGTGTGTATCTTCTACGCGGCACGCGCGATACGTCCGCACGGTTCAATTTTCGGAGAGAAATTGATAGATACGTTTTTTGGGCCCTTGCGGAGAGTATCTCAAAGTACGTCAGATACAAGTGACCGTCTCTTGGTGGCTTCAAAACGCCATGGAACTGCAGAGAATGTACTAAAATATACCTCAAATTGAATACGTCACGGGGTTGAAATTTAACTAAGTAAACTAATTTTCTGATGTCTTCCGTTAGGTGGCGCTGCTGATAGTATTAAATCGATTGTATCTATCCTTTATCATTAAGTTCCTTCAGCTTCGGAATACATACGTTGGCAATACAATGATCAATAATACAAGTTTTTTATACAATATGATTCCTTCATTGCCTTACCATCTGTATAAATATTACTAATAGTACAGAAAACAATATCATTTCGTTCATTATTCTTTCTATAATGAATCATTTAAAGTATAGAGTGGCACAAAACAGTTTACAGACTCAGCAAACCAATTTTAATTTAAAAATATATATATATAATCTAAGCAATAAAAAGAAATATAATAAATCAATTAAAGAACCACACTAAGTCCTTTTAAAAACAACAGTATTTACACTGGAAAAAAATAATAATAAAATCAATGAATTTTTACAGCTTCCAAAATATATTTCAGATTCTTTAAATTATATCCATTTATTTAAGTATTTTGAAGCAGACACTCAATCTTTTCAAATATTCTTGAAACTTCATATAATTTCTTGAATTTTTCTTTTTTGAAAAGCATTCACATACTTTTAGCAGCCATAGTCTTAATAAAAACAAATGCGTGCAATACCAGATTAATATGCCGCACTTAAGGAATTTATGAGACACATTTCAAGGGGCTGAAAAGCTGATTCAGCTTTTCTCTCATTCCACAGTTCTCGATCTTTTTGCTTATACATCGATTTGTGTAAACAAGACACAAAGTTTACCCGAAGAATTAACAGAATCTGTCTCATTGTGTGCGGTATCAATTTACGAACTTGCCATGCAACAGAAATAACAAAGACTTGTTGATATTAGCGTTCGTTGACATACTGAGAACGCATAATCAAAGTATCTGTATATTGCCACTTAGTGCCCTTGGAATAACCAATTTCTTGGTTTGAACTGATTCATCATATTCTATATGTATAAATATCTCATGTATTAAACACATTTTCACGAACTTCATTTGACTTACCTTGTTTATATAGAACTTTAAACAAAAATTAACAAATAAAACGAGATAAAACCGATCATGGAATACTTGGCCGACATTCAAATCAATTTTATGAAACTAAAACCATTTTGAAGTATTTAAAAGTTCACCAGGTTTTACTTAGAAATCTAGTTCAAACTGCTTGATGTAACTTAATATCTGTTTTTCTTACCTGGTATATGTAACGTAGAGGTCCTTTATTTATTTCTAAGCATATGAACCCTTTAAATTTATAGAACTGTTATCCACAGAGAGTAAGAATTCCTATTAATGATGATGTTATTTTTTAAGAGCAAGTGTTGAAATGTAGCTTAAAATAGTGCTAACTTGTAATTTTGTATATGAAATATTTGGAAAATGGAATGGCTTAATACAAAATGAAGAATCCTTGTATTTACGTCTTTTCACTAGTCTCTGCAAGGGGATGATTAAGGGCGTCGTGATTGTGCTGTTGATTTTTAATGATTAGTTCTCCGGTTACTGAGCAGGTAATGATTCGAGCAGCGCAGCGCATATATCGGTTCCGGGCACATAGCCAATAGGTCTTGGAGCCCCGCGAGTTGTTGCGGTAATACTCATAACCGCCCATTAGAAGTTTGGGTTTCCCTTTCGTGCCCTTGACAATCATGATGCCTTTCTTGCGGATGATATCTGCAAAGAAAGAGAAACAAAATTATGATTAATTAGTAAACGTTCTTAAAAAAACACATAATAAATTACACAGTAAGGTTAGCTTACAGTCTTTGGAATTTGTAATTCTTGTTTCTTCGTTTTATATACTAAGTTTATTTAATAAGTCTTTATTGGCGTTTTTTTTTAGCTATTGAAAAAATATTTAAACTGAGGCAATCGGGCATTTTGATTTATTTAAACTCTATCTTGATATTTGTCTCTCAGGTCAGAGTTGATGCGAGTGCTTGGCATATTTCAGACGGTACACCTCCTGACCATTCTTTAGGACATGAGTGGTTGCCCGGACCTTGCAGTTGGCACTCCGATAGCGGGAGCAGCGCCAATTGATGCTGCTCTTCAGCTTGCGATCCATCACGAACTCGTGTTTGTCAATGACCAGCTTACGCTTCTTCTTGCGGGTGCTGCTAAAACTGGCCAAACGGGCAATATCTGCAAGTTAAGAGCAAAGTTGATTAGTAATATAAAGCAGAGTGATTGAGAAGTAAGCTCGAAACTTAAAAATGTATGTTAATTAAACTGTTTAAAAGGTTGGGCTTAATTTAAGTTTATTTTCTGTACATGAGTTTTGACTTAAATAAATGAAGAGATCCTGTCAAAGTTTTTGAGATCGTAAATAAAATTAAAAGATAAAAAACATGTAAGAACAATTCTAAGCATCTTTTTTTAAATAATTAAAAAATACCCTTTCAAAATGCTTAGATTTGGGTATATACACTTTGCAATTTTTCACATAAACCCAATTATTCCACAGAGATAATGTTGATGGACTGCCTCCGCCCTTGGCCACATGGCTGATGGTTGTGACTGCTCGAGTGCACAATCCGTCCCTGTAGGGTGTGGACTCTGCCGTGGCACTTGATTTGCGTGGTGTACTGGGTGCAGCGCCAATAGGTCTTGTTGTTTATACACTTTTCGCGAACGTAGGAGAAGTTGCGATGGATGAGCTGGACACGTCCCTTTTGGCTAACCACATAGCCAAATTTGTGGCCTAAAAAGTAGATGAAAATGTAATTGATTAGTAAGAGATCATGATAAGCTAAGCATAGGCAATGAGAATAAGTTTTCAGGAGTTATTCGTTTGGCCTTAGTGATGAATTTTGCTTGCATTTATTCTTAATGAAAATGATCAACTTTTCGCTCGTCTCTAATGTACACCTAATGCTAACTAGACATCGTGCGAGGTGAGATCGTTCAGCTCCTCCTCGTGCAGATCGAAGTTGACATCGCCATCGACCTCCATTTCGCAGTCCATTTTCGCGACCATTTGGCGCGTTTCCCGCAGAGTTTGCGCCTTGCTGGAGCTGTACTTGTTCCGCTTAAGCTCCGCATGCATGTGCTCCGCCTTGTTGATAATGAACTTGGGCGGCGTCTCCTTCAGCATGGTAATGCGGGCGGGACATTTCAGCTTCTTGGTGGCCATCGAACTGCAGCGCCACAGGATCTTCTTCTTGTTCTCGCTCATGATCAGGAAGCGAATGCCATTGGCCATGATGGCGGGTCGACCGCGAAGCGATTGGGTAAAGAAGACCAGCACATCTTCAGGATTAGGCACCTCATCGTTGGCCAGCACAACTGCAAAATTTTTGGTGGGAAGTAAAAAGAAAGTGATTAGTTGTGGTCTAAGCTTCTGACATTTACAATTAAATCTTAGTAAATTGGACAATCAGGCAAGGATCTACGTATGTTTCTTTCAGTTTTATTTATATACTCTGCAAAACAGACTCTTAAATTACAAATCGAAAAGGTGCGCCATGCTCTGGGGCAGGCTCATCACGTTGGACACCACCGGAGTCCTCATTCCCCTAGCAGTGACCTTTTCTTTGCGCTTCGGCCGGATGTGACAGTGCTCGTGTATCTGCCGGAAATCGTTGCTATCCGTCTTGCTCATGCAGATGAGCACCGGGCACTTGGTGTGTCGATAATACCAATGGCAACGCCAGTACAGATTCGTGCGGTTTGTATTGTTCCTGAAGAACTTCATGCCGTCCAGCCAAAGGAGCTGGCCGCCGCGCTTGGATTGTGAGAACTGAATGTTTGGATTGTTGCCTCGATACTGTCCATGACCGTAGTCGATATCTGAAAGCATAACAGAATGCGGGAGAAATAAGTTAATAAATTATTTTAACTTGTTTAAAAAGAAAAAAACTTAACGGATTTGGTTTGTTGAACTTATTTTTAGACATTGAAAAACGTTGTACAGTCTTCGGCTTTAATACATAGAATTCGCTCTCTTATATATCGACTTAGTGGTAAAAACAGTTTCTAGCCTCGGCTACAGGTCCAAGTTCCCCAGCTTCGACTTGATTTCGGTCAACGGTGGCGGCCCCCGAAGAACTGGCTCCCGATCTCGATCCCGCATTCTCGCAGCGGCCTCAGCCTCCTCGGGCTCATCATCGTCGTGGCTCGCCCACTCGACGGGTGGCGATAGCTTGGTCTCTCCGCCCTGCGGCAGCGGCTTAATCATAATATCATTACTCTCCGTGTGCTGGTGCTGGTGGCACAGACGCAGAATTAGCGAGGACTCATCGTGGATGGCTATGGCGGGGCAGCGCTCCTTGTAGTAATTCCGGCACTTCCAGTACTGCAAATGGCCACGCTTCTTGTTCCTAAAGAAGCGGAAACCATTGATTACCAGTAGCTTGCCGCCGTTCTTCTTGGAGTCCGCAAAGTCAATGTGAAAAGCTGCGGAACGAAAGAGAAATTCCCGATTAGTGAGAGGACAATATGTGAATGCACTTTGGCATGCTTCTAACTTTAACTGCACAACAATTTTCAGTTTGTATTTAAGGAAAAACTTTGATTTATTAAGTGGCTAACGCTTGGACAGTATGCGCTTAAATGTAATCCTAAGACGACTCCATAGAGAGGGTCTTCTTCTCCCTTTTGATCAAGGCGGGCATGCTGACGTTGCTGGGAAACTTGCGGCTGTGATCGTGCTCATAAGTGCTCTTGATGATGCGGGCCTGGGCATATTTGTCCAGAGCAGTGACCACGCGCGCTCGGCACACAGTCACGTCCTGTTGGATGGGTTCAAAGAGAATATGTTTATAATACAATGCAATCTATAATCAAATTTCAATTCAATTATCTTATGACTATCTTTAAATGTAAAGGAAATAATCTAAATATATTCGTTACTAATTGATTTTT